GGCGGACGTCCCCGCGCTCCGCTTCCTGCCCGGCGGGGCGCGGGCCGCGACGGCGCAGGCCACGGGGGCTTTCTGCAAGGCAGTGTCCCGCGCGCCGCGCAGCAGCATGGCAGGGGGGGGCGCGCCTGGAAGCTATTCTTGCTCCTCGAGAGGCTCCAACTCTTGGCGCCGATGAAGCGCGTCGCAGGTGGGAGACGCCGAGCCGGGAACGGACCTGCTCTGCGGGCTGGGCTGATCCGCCAGCCGCGCCCACGGCTCCGCCGAGGCGCCTGGACGTCGCCGCCCGAGGCGCCGTCCAGGGGGGCGCGCGCGCCCTCGCCGCCGCCGCCGCAGACAGCGATGGCGCGGTTGCCGCCGGGGCACCCTGGCCGGTCCTGCCGCTGGCCCACGAAACGACATGCCGTGTGGGCGGGGTGGTGCTGCGCCACCTGCGCTGGCTGGCGCAGGACCGCGCGCGTGGCTTGGGCGACGGCCTCGAGGCCGAGGCGGCCGCGAGCGCGCTGGCGCGCCGCTGTGGCGCCGAGCTCAGCTGCGCGCTGCACCGCGTCATGGCGCGACAGCTGCGTATTTCTCTCGGCCAGGAGGGAGAGCTCGCGGCCCGCGCCGCGGTGGCGGCCGAGTTGGTCGGCTGGCCAGTTGGGCAGCGCGGCTTGGGCGTTGGGCCACGAGGTGAAGGAACGCTACCAGTTCTTCGGGGTGCCGTGCTCCATCCTCGCGTTCGAGGCGGAACTGAGGGGGTGGCTCTCAGGGCGCAACGACGGATTGTTTGGTGGTCGCAGGAGGAGGAGGAGGAGGCGGAGGAGGAGGAGGAGGAGGAGGAGGGTTCATGGGGAACAAACTGGGACAACTGATGATGATGATGATGATGATGATGATGGTGATGATGATGTTGTTGTTGTTGATGATGATGATGATGAAGATGATGATGCTGATGATGATGATGATGATGATGATGATGATGATGATGCTGATGATGATTATGATGATGCTGATGATGATGGTGGTGGTGGTGATGATGATGACGATGATGGTGGTGATGGTGGTGATGATGATGATGATCATCATGATGATGGTGATGATGGTGATGATGATGCTGATGATGATGTTGGTCATGATGGTGATGATGGTGATGATGGTGATGGAGATGATCACGGTGATAATGACGGTGATGCAGACGCGGGGGATGATGAAACCGATGACGAGCAGGAGGATGATAACCACGAGGGGGATGAGACGGCAGAGTATGAGTAGGAACAGGGAGGGGGAGGCGGAGGAAGGACAGGATCAGGAGGAGGAGGAGGAGGAGGAGGAGGAGGAGGAGGGGGTTCATGAGGAGCAAGGAGATGTCATGCTGATGAATATGATGATGGCCGTGCTGATGATGATGCTGGGGATGATGGTGTTGAGGATGATGATGATGATGATGGTGGTGATGATGATGCGGGTGATGATGATGGTGAAGAAGGTGATGGTGAGGATGCTGAAAGTGATGGTGAGGAGGAGGGGGAGGAGGCGGAAGAGGAGAAGGACGAGGACGGGGAGAAAGAATGAGAGGGCGGAGGAGGAGGATGACCAGTGCAACCCCCAGATTCATCAAGCTCCGTTTCCATAGGCCTCTCTACGGATTCATTTCTTGCTGAGGGAAATGCCCCGTTTGAAGATAACCGTTTGACAATCCGGAATTGTGCCTGGACGTTTATTGGGTGTCGTCAGCGCCGTGAATCACCGTCCTAGTTGCTACTTGGCAGTCCAGAATCGTACCAAAACACCGTTCGTGAGAATATTTGAAATTGCTGCACCGTCTTAGCACGAATGCGCGCTGCGTTAAAGCGGAAAAGCGCATTTTGAAAAAGAACCGCCCTCCATCTGTGAAGTTCGTGCAAGCATTTCAAACGATTGCGCGCGGCGCTAACGCCAGAACCACATTTTTTGAAAACGACCGCCCTCCATCCGTGAAGCTCTCTCAACATATCCTGACGAATGTGCACCGCGCTAAATCCAGAACCACATTTTGAGAATGAACCGTCCTCCATCCGTGAAGCTTTCGCAAGTTTTTCAAACCAGTGTGCGCGGCGCTAACGCGAAAACCACGTTTGGAAAGTGGACCGCCCTCCCTCTGTGAAGTTGTACCAAATTCCAAACTGAAACATCATACGCTGTAAGGGCGTCTCAGGCCGAACGCCCGGCCCGCCTTTGCGAATGGCTTCGGGGTGTGACAGGGAGGAGTTATCTACAAGGAAAGGGAGTGAATGATTAATATCAATTCGAATGAGCGTGTTCTACCGCCGCTGTTGGCGGAAATCCAGGGGGGTCACTACTGGTTCGAACCCCCCCCCTCCTCCGGAAAACCGCGGGGGGTCACTACCGGTTCGAACCCCTCCCCCCCCCCAGTCCATCATGAAAAGGGGGGCGGGGGGTCACTACCGGTTCGAACCCCCCCCCCCGTCCTCCCCTCCAGAAAACCGGGGGGGGTCACTACCGGTTCGAACCCCCCCCTGCC